GAGGTACCAGCAAATGCTTGACTGGCCGGCAGTTGAAAGAAGAATTCAGGCACGACAAAGGCGAGGGTCGACAATATACTGCAATGCACGCTGTGTGCCGAGTATTGGTGATCACGTAACAAGCGCCCAGCTGGCTCTCCTATCCTATCGCAGTGGATAAGATGCGATTTATGCTCGTATCCCGGAACGCAGCCCAAGGTCGGTCGCAGAGGTGATGCGCGCCTAGTAATAGTCGCGGAGTGAGGGGGTGTGTGGCGAATAAGTATTTTTTGCTGGATGTGGGCGCGGTCGAGAACGGGAGAATCGCACACTGTGGTCGCCGCTGGGTGCGTGAAGGCCGGCCACAACAAACAGCAACAAACGGCGGAAGAGCGGCTGCTGGTGATGAGGATGGCGAGGAGGAGAAGAGGGAGAAGATGAAGGAAAGAGAAAAAATTCGCAGCCCGTGTTGATGAGAAGTTCGAAACAAAGAAGTAGCAGGACGCCCAGCTAATGGAGGGCGGAAGCTGAATTAGGTATGTACCTACGGTGGTGGTATGGCTCAGGAAAGAGCGGCGCAGGGGGGAGGGGGGTGCGCTAAGACTGAGGGACCTCGCAGTGGGCAGCAGCGATGGGCATTTGCAACTGGCATCAGATCAGGGGGCGGTTATGGGGAGCAGACGTGATGGGAGGGATAAAAAGAGGGGCCGCTAGGACAGCTGGGAGAGGGGCAGCTGTTTCATTTCACGGGCTTTTTTTCCTTCCCATAGGTAGGTAGCCTCTGATGCGCCTGGGCCAAATTGTCTTCAGTGTGCATCGTACTATGGAGCAAAGCTCGAGTCTATCTCGCAGCCAGCCAATTGCCTGCCGACGTGCCGGAATCCCCAGCGGCCAGGCCCTATTCGAACGTCGGGATGCAGCACGCAGCAGCAATACTCAGGTGGGTGGGCTGGTGCTGCAGCTTCATTGCATTGTCGCAGCCATGGAGCGAACGAAAATGATGAAAGGGGCTTTTTGGCAACGTGACACAACAGAGTTCCTGCTACCGCCGCCGCCGTGACCTCTGCTGTCGTCGCCATGCCCAGGTTGTGCCTGGAAGGGTGCGGTGCAGAGTGATCCATTCGCGGGCTTCTGAAGCGATGGCTTCGTCCAGGGCCCCCCTAGTGTTGGGTTAGCACATCCAGCTGGACCACGCGAGAGCAGAGCCCGCCTCTTTCTGCTTTCTCTAACAGGACAATTGGTGGGAGGAGGGGAGAGAGGGGTGGCCTTTGTGAGACAGGGGGGCCGGAGATGGGCATGTCTCAATCGCCCAGATCACCAAGCACAGTGCTGTTACATGCCCTCTTGAGCCCCTGCCACTGTACTGCGCCGTACTGATGGATGTGCTACCGTCTAGGCGGCCTGCAGCCTTCGACGTCCTTCCTCGGGACATCCATCACGCATCTGGCTGCTCCTTGTTTTCTCTTTTGCTGCCTTGATCCATGGTTCCATGGGGAAATGAAGAAGAACGATGCAATGCATGCATCCAATATTCCAATTGCATGCTTATCTCATCGCACCTCTTATACGACCTGATAATCACTAGTGCATGCCTACGTCCGCCCGTATTGCCTTCCTGCAGCTGTGTGTAGCATTTCACCAGCTTCACCGGAGCTGCCACTCACACTACTGCACCCACGGAGCTGGATGCAGAGCATCATTGCCGGGCAGAAGGGACAACAAAGACGACGAGGACACACTGTAGGATAGTCGTCTTGAGAGGGGTCGGACTAGGAGGCAATACTCCTTGGTCAATATCTCCATCAATCTATTACGATTGCTAGTACCTTGACCTGAAGTTGATGTACATCATCGACAGGCGGCAGCCCACTATAATCCAGGGTACCGGAGGTGTTGCCCACGGAAAGTTCCTTTAATTTTTGTCCCTCTCTCCAACCACCGGTGTCGTGGAATGTTTGACATGCACCTAGTGACGCATAAGCCTAATCGTCATTCTCGCTCTGTAACCCAGGCTCTGCTTCACCCGGGGTTTGCGATGAACACTCGGTTGTTTGCAACAGAACCGGCGGCTGCAAATACAGTCCCAACCTGGCCGGGCCACAGTCGTGGTACGGGTTCTGCTGTGTCTGTACCGGGCGAGTTGCGGCTTGGCTTGCTGATTGATTTGCCCAGGTTAGGCAACTAGTTAATATCTGGGGATCTGCAAACGGCGCGGCCGCCTCGCCCAGTTAGCGATCAGACCCTGGATTTCCGATGAAACGTACTTGCCAAAGCCACCAAACTTGGGATGCTTCAAGACGAACTAGCTGGTCTCGCTCTCTTACATGCTATTGCCATGCGATCCGCTCCGAAAAGCACGCAAATGCTTACCTCCTCGTTCCATGCAAAGGGACAAGGGCTTATCCCCTCTCCCCTTCATTTTCAAAGTTTATTTGCTTTTTCCCTTCTGGATCTGTGATTTGCAGCCAAGCGTACAACATGGCAATAATCTGTTTGTGAGGTCACCTAACATTGGCTCTAGCGGGACATTTGATGCGAGCGAGCCACTTTATTTTAATTAATTAGCTGTGTACACGTAGGACAATGGATGATCTACCATTGATGATCGACCATTGATGAATCTCGTCTGCTTACTGATCTGATATATTGGAACCTCATCTCAACAAAAGAGCCCACCCCTTCGCCCAGCTCCTACGCCTGATACGGGCTTCGCTTGAAGATTGAATTCGATGGTACACGGCATGATGGATGGGGCATGAACGCAGCGGAATACGAGATGCTCCAATCACCCAAGAGCGGGCAATCTCCTTGGTGTGACTTTGCGGTGGTAGACCTGAATCCTCACGCACATCCATACACTCACCTGTCTCGGACCACACTGAGAGTGTTCCATGGCTCACATCAAGGAGATCCCCTAATATAACACAACCCAGATCACGGTGTCGCATTATACTCCGTCGGGTTTTTCACATCTTGGTTGTTGTTCGCGATCTTCGAAATATTTCCCTATCGTACAAAAACCATGTCAGGTTATAGGTACTTTGCCTCTATAATGTTTCTGCATGGAAACGAGGGTGGATTGGCCGGTAAGCTGACACGTCGGACGCTCCGAGAAGGGTAATCGAAGCAGGCCTGGCCACTGCCCATCGCTCAGGATGGAAATCATCGTGTACTTGGACTCTCAACGGGGTGGGTACTGCTGCCCCGCGGATGGGCCTTGCTGTACATGTGTAAGTCGACTTTGGGGTACTACCGCGCCCAACTCCCAGCATGCATATATCGTACTGTACAGCACATACGGCGGCCGCAGGTGAGGTCCTCCATGTCAATCACTCTTCCCATGGCTGCGCCAGTTCGGCTAACGAGGAGCTTGGAAGCAATAATGGCCCTATCGGTGGTGGCGAATCACCACTTGCTACGTGCTAGTACCCCTGATCATTACGACCTCGGCCAGTCTTCTGTGCCATCCAGCCCTAACCAGATGCCTGCCACTCTCCTCCAAAAGAGCGATCTGGTCGACACTGATTGGAGAGGCGGGAAGGAGGGAAAATTGACCGACATGGCCCCAGTCTCCGGCACACGCACACTGCAGTGAGGCACACACACAGTACGCAGAACGCACAAACCTCGAACACAAGTGATGCCCTCCCCCCCTAACTATCTCCACACCACAAGAAGCACGCGCTGGCGCCCTCACCTGAGACGTCGTCTCAGGTTGTTGCAGGGATAGTGGGCCCAGGTTTCTGCACATCGGGCCATGCTCGCTCCTGACTGGCCAGCTATCCCGCCCCTCCTCCCCCCCCAAAACCCAATGGCCAATTTGGAGAGCTGGAGAACTCAGATCTCGCTTCGTACCCAACCATTTGGGGCTCGTCGAACCAGCAATTCGTCAGCCAGTAAGTAGCTGGACTGACAGGTCGCCCTGTGCCAATCACTTGACTCGGGAAAACCGGGGCCCTCCAATAGTCTCGATTCACCTGGTCTCAGGTCCCACAGGCCGGACTTGCAGCTACAGACGACGCCAGTTCACATGCTAGAGCGGCACTTGTTGATGCTGCAGTGGCAGCGAGAAAAGCATGATCTTTGCATATTCAGTCCGAGCTGATGTATCGAGCACCTTCCCGGTTCTAGTTGCCCCCAACGTGCGCAACAGGATTGACTTGCCATTATGATACGATGTCACACAAACCGCTGGCAAGCCGCTAGTTCACATAGGGCCAAGCGGGTGCTCAGGTAAAACATGGGAAGCGTTTGCCATCTCCAACATTTGCAAGCGGTAGTCGCCGCGACTATGCGAGCTTGTTGCAACTACCAGAGAGGGAAGCTCCCTTTGGGCGGACTCGGCCGGACAGCCATGCATATTCAAGCCTCCTCACTCGCACACCACCCCGGTCTTCCTGGAAAACTGCCGCATGTGGTGGTCACTTTATCCGAACGGCGGACGGGAGAGATGGGGGAGAGATGAGAGAGCCCTGGCCACCCCCTGCCGGCCGAGCCTGTCTTCTCGGCGGAACAAACCTGATTGAGAAGCGAAGAATCAAGAAGATTAAAGAGCAACTCGTTACCCCTCATCTGCATCAGGTATCGGTATCAGGTATCAGGTGTGTGCGTTCAGCTATCAAAGGTCGCATGCCACTACCGTGAATTGGATCTTTGGTCCGACCCCAACCGCAGCTCGGTTCCGAAACGAATGGCCACCTTCCCTTCGGAGGATATGCAGCATATCTTGGCGAAGGCGTTCAACAGGTCGGCAATGGTCCAACACTCACCGTTCGCACATTTGCATTTCAAGGTTTTGGAGGGGAGCGGGGGTTACAAAAGGCCCTCCTGCAAGGATACTCTTCGACCAAGCAGATTTGCAATAGGGCTGCGATTGGGTGTAAATTGTGCGCCGGACAAGTGCCAATCAGGTGCTTGATGCCATTACCATGTTTGTGGGCCGCTGGCGGCTCAGCCTTATGAGATTCTTATAACTGATTTTGCCTATCTACCTAGTGAGTTAAACCTAACTACGTACTATCTTAAGAGTTATCGAGGGCGGATGGCTTCCCACGGCACCATCTAGCCTCCGCCTTAGGACGATGTTGAGCGCGCTTCGGCTTCGGCTTCAACTTCTTGCGATTGCGAGGGACCACTTGCACTGCATCTCTGGTCTCCTCTATATCTTCCCAGTCATCTACTACATCCCCTTGGAATGGTTCGTGCACAGTATGATTTTCAACCTTTGTTTGCACTGCACTGTGATTGCTGAAAGCTCGCATGATATCCGGATGGGTTTCAACAAGTGCCAGGGACATGGCAGACTCGTCGTCTACTGCTTCAATATCTGCCCCATGTTTCAATAAGACCCGGATAGTCTCGAACTCGAGCTCTGTGGCAGCATAAGCTAATGGCGTCTTGTGGGAGTCATCTTCGCTTTCGATTTTCGCTCCATTGTTAATCAACAGTTCAGCTACTTTGTCATGTCCTCTTTCAGATGCATGCGATAGAGGCGATCTTCCCTTATTATCTAAAGAATGGGGACTAGCGCCGGAATCGATCAGTTCCTGAGCGATATGCACATGATTGCTTAGGATAGCATGAAGCAAAGGGGTCCTCTCTTCTTCATCTTGGGAATTGACATTGGCTCCCTCCGCAATGAGAAGCCGTACGATTGATTCGTAACCAGCTTCGGAAGCATAACAGAGCGCTGATTTCCCTGCACTTTGGAATGGATTCAGCTCTGCGTCATGATTAATCAGGATTCGAATAATATTCTCATGGCCTTTCTCTGCAGCGAAGCAGAGCGGAGTTTGGGACTTGTCATTGAGCCAATTCACATTTGCACGGTATTGAAGAAGCAGTTTGACGCTACTCTCCAACCCGTAGGAAGCCGCGAGGGATAGTGCTGACGTAGATTTGGTGTGATGAGTCGGTAAAGGATCAGGTCTGAAGCCCCTCTCCAGGAGAAGCTTGACTATGGGATGCTGCTCTGCTCTTATCGCTGCTAGTAAGAAAGCCGTCGGACTTTCCTGCTCTTCTTCACTCTCGTGAGCCCGGATGCCACTGCGATGTAATAGTATCCTTACAATCATTTCGTTGCCTCCTTGTATTGCTTCGAAAATTGCCTTGCGGCCTTCTCTGCGCCGCAACCAAGATTCAATACTACTCAAGGTGAGTAAGTACCACACTGGTCGAACATGACCATTTCGGGACGCAGTCATCAAACCGGTTGCACCGTCCAAGTGTGATCCGTACTCATAGCGACTATCTTCAATAGAGGCCTCGTTATATCTGCAAACATTCGATCCTCGTGAACGTGGCCTTTGGATGCAAATTTTCCTCACTGACAAGACATTCTGTACCAGCGCGAATCTGCTAACCTTGACGAGTGTTGAACTTTTTATTCGTCGGAATCGCTCCATCGTCAGGTCGAGATCCTTGACATAAATAGCAATGGATTCATCCTCGTTGCTCTGGTACCGACAATTCAGGAGCGCTAAACCATTGCCCGTTCTATCCAGCATTCCTAGAAATCGCACCTCGAGGTGGATGCCACTGCTGCTTATGTACGGCACAGCATAAGCTTCATCACCGGGCTGATATGGAACAATGTCGCCAGAGTCTTTGAACACATCTGGTGACCTGGCTAAGAGGCTCCCATGATCTTCCGGGGCCAAGACGCTCCCATGACGGTCCAAAGTCGACCACGCAAAGAGACTGTGGTCGTCAGATACTCTCATTATCTCTTCCTGAAGTCTTATGAAGGCATTTTCTCCTTCGCCATAGATCGGGGGCATGTAGATTCCAAAGATGCCGAGAAGCGAGTAGGCGCGATCCTCGACCTTCGTTGTCGTCCGCCCTGCTGCCCAGGACATCTTTTGGGCGACACTATACTCAGAGAGATCCACGCCCGTGTTTTCGCACAGAAGCTCCTCGGGGATTCCTGTATAATTTGATAATACCTTGCGCAGCTGGTCTTTGCTGCTCAGTTCTTTCCAGTTCTGATTCAGGAATATGACAACGGAAGGCGCAATGAGTTCTTGAAGAGTCCACCCCCTCGTAAACCATTTACTTGCTGTTATTTTCCCCGGTGATGACACGTCCGCTAGATACGCATAACAGACCTTGGCCTCTGCATACCAAGTGTACATTGAGTTAATGGCCTCCGACAGCTCGGCACTACTTGTTTTGTCGATGCAGCAGGTGTCGATCCAGACATAGTTGAAACCATCCAATAGGGCCTTTTTGCAGCATTCTTGGACTTTTTTGTACCCTTTCTTGGGGTTTGTGCAGGATCTCTGGATATCTTGTAGGGTTACCTCCTCTTGGCCCCAGACATGGGATAAGATGGCATAATCTGGTATATTGCTATTAGGAACCTCAGTGAGAGTGATGGACCTTGTATCGAGGAGACGCATGCTGTGCGATGATGAAATCGAATGCAACTATTGAGAGTATACACTTATGTCGAAAGTCGATTGCGTATTTAGAGGATCTGGATGCAAATGCTCGTAGGCAATCTGTGTATTCAATTTAATACGAGCAATAGAGATGGACAGTGAAGTGTCAGGCACTCCGAGTTGCGTTGGTTGGGTTGATGAACAAGCTGTCAGCATCACGGGATGGCAGTGCCAAGGCATACTTAACTTACACTGCCCTGGGCATATATGCATAGGTACCTACACCTTCAGCGCTACATGAACAACGAAACTCACAAGTGCTACTTTCTATATCCCACCGAATTTCTCACACATATCCATCTAAGAACTTAGACATGATGGGCTTACAAATGCTCCTGTTTATATGAACTCTTTATTCTCCAACTTAATATAACCAAATGATTAAGACGTTGGAATAAGATATCTTTCCTTCTGTCTTTTTTGGTTGAAAAGAAGGCGTCCAATGCATGTTGGTGGGTCAATATAGTGGCTGGTGGGGCTTTGCGCCACATGTCACACGCCACACTAGGCTCAAAATTTCTGAGCGTCCCAATCAAGACCTTTGATGAATTTCATCAACTTGAATGAAGATCGCACAACAGGCTATTGAAAGAAGGAATTGTCGCTTTTAAAACCCCTGATTATTATTTTTAATCCCCGCACACTGTAAGACTACAGCATCAATGCCTGGTCGAACCAAGAAAGACGAGCCAGCCGCTCAAGATACAAACATGGAGGACGCCCCGCCCTCAGCACAGCCAGAGGCAGAAGAAGTAGATAACGAGGACCAGGAGGAAGCTCCAGAGGAAGAGGAGATTGAGCCCCAGCGAGTCAGAATTGTAAGACTTATCTATTCTATCTTGACGATTTCGTCCTTCTTGCTAACTTGCGATACAAGCTCCCGGGATCTACAGACACTGCTGCCTCATTTGAGTTTGTCGATGAGGGACACACAGTCGGCAATGCGCTGAGATACATCATCATGAAGAAGTAAGATATACTTTGGCCCCCCATGAAAGGTCCTATGGCATGAAGAGTAGAATAGCCTAACTGGTAGTGATAGCCCCGATGTCGAGTTTTGCGCATACTCTATCCCTCACCCTTCTGAGCCCAAGATGAACCTGCGAATACAGACCTACGGTTGGTGCCCTCCCACTGATGAACTGACCCTGCAACGCCAGCGCTGACTAGTTGACCAGACGGCCTTGCCGTGGATGCATTGAAGAAGGGCCTGGCTGACTTACAGGACATCTGCGACGTTGTCACTGATGAGTTCACCACCAAGAAAGATCAGTTCAATGCAGAGCATGGGATTGTTCGGTAAGGGGAATTGGGTACTTGGGGTACAATTCGCTGGATTAGACATGGGTTTCATTCACCAATTAGACATAAAAGTTCTCTGGGCGTTATGGAAATAGTCTCTTTTTTTTTCGCATGCATACGGCCTGGCCTATAGTTATATGTACAAATGAACAGCGCGCGCTGCTTCTAGTTGCGGCCCTGAACGAACAATCCCCACGTTAGCATACGAGAACTCGGCTTGGATATGGGAAACAACCTACCTCTAGGAAACCAGACATGAAGCTGGATGGTAGTCTCTTGTCCCCCCTAAAGTTCTCGTCCTTGAAGTATGACATGACGTGGGTAGTCTGCTTCCAGAAGTTCATCATTTCCTGCCCAGCCCTGTGTTAGCCGACGCGCGCCACGACCGCAATAACAAGCCTAAAATCCGTACCTGGTACTCGGCATGCGACTTAAAGATGAGGACGTCGGCGACTCGGAGCTTGTCAACGTATCGCTGGCGCTCGAATTCCTCTCGTATCCGGGTGCGAATGGTCGAGATGGGCATCGGAAGGTTGTACATGGTTTGCATCTCGGGGACCTGGCAACTGTGTCAGTCGTTTGGTCTTTGGCGTGTCCTTTGGGTACAATCGGTATTCAGCTGGGTATAGTGGCTGCTGGCAATCCAATTGTTGGGTAGAGGCTATGAGGGCAACATACAGCTCGAATCCATTCCCGGTAGGAGGCGAGCACTCGGCGCTTGGCCTCGCCCCAGTTGGCGGCTGTAAACTCAAGAGTTAGCGATTCATTCGGTGGCATCGGTGATTGACCTTACACTGGGCCGTCTTCTTGGCGAATTGAGTCGGGGTGATAGCCATGGCGAGCGAACGATGCTGTGCAATGCTGGTGAACTACTCCCTCAAAGCTGCTCTGACGTTGAGCAATGAGTGCAGGCCTAATGGTAATCGGCTCAACGCTCCAGCAAATCACGTGCCTAGAGACTGGAGCCGCGCCACAGGTTGCTGCGTGCGCCACATTTAGGGGCCCCTCCATCTCAGCTAGCCAGGTCCAGGCGACCATGTTTTAGATCTTCGCCTTAGTTTAGTAAGGCGAGCAGTGATACAACACCAACGCGGAAGGCCTTGGAATTTCTACGACTTTGCAACATAATTACACATCACACATCACCCAGCGCCACCACGATGCCCGCGATTCGCCATGCTTCGAAGAGAAAGCCCCCGCCAGAGGGCTTCAGCGATCTCGAAGATGACCTTCTCATCTTCGCCAACAAGATGAAGGATGCCCAGAACAAGCCTTCAACAGGACCCAAGCACCAAGCACAATGGGAGGTCTTTCAGATTTCCCATCAGCGCAGCCGCTACGTCTATGAGCTGTATTACGAGAAGGAGGCGATCAGCAAGCAACTTTACGATTGGTTATTGAAGAATGGATATGCCGATGCGATGCTCATCGCCAAGTGGAAGAAACAGGGCTATGAAAAGGTTCGTACCAGCTCTCCTGAGAGACCTCTCTCAACATAACGAATGATGGCATTGTTGCTAACTACTTCTTAAGCTATGCTGTCTTCGCTGTGTCCAAACGAAAGAGACGAACTTCAACAGCACCTGCATTTGCCGAGTTCCGCGAGCGCAGATGAAGGAGGGCCACGATGTCCAGTGTGTTAGCTGCGGCTGCCGAGGGTGCGCATCAACTGACTGAGCAGCTCTATCGCCACACGGGTTTGGAAGTTGCTTGGGAGAAGTACACTCGCATATTATGGTCGACAGCGATGGCGTTCCGGAAGGTTTCCGATGGGTTCTTTACAGCCTGCATTCACAATGAAGCATAATCTCATATTTGGTAACTGGGTCATGCTGTGAGGTAGAAGAATCCTCTTGTCATTTTTACAAATATAGGGTTCATTGCATAATAGCTGATTCTTTGAGTCATAGCCAATCGTTTCCCATTTCCGTCGTGATATCTTACTCTCAAGCCTTTGAGAATCCTGCTCGCCCACGTCCGAAGCGAATGCTGGGCGGCACGAACTGTAGTGAGGACATGGCGTCTGTGAGATCCGTCATCTCCTTGTCACCTTTCTCGGGTGCTGCTTGCTTTGATGCCTTGTTTTCGGCTGATGGCTTCTTGGGAGACTTGTCGGTCTGTGTGTCGGCCTGCCCCTTTAAGCTGTCTCGGCGTCGGGGCTCCTTCGATTGCGTCGTTGCTGTGGATGATCGTCTTCTATGATGGCCATTCTCCGTGAGCAGTGATCGTCTACCGTCGATGCCATCTTTAGTAATGGCAAAGAAGAAATTCTTGGGATACATGTGCTTGTCAATCATGTGCATGCGCCGCTTCTGATGAGTCATGCACTTCCTCTCGCAACCTTCAACAAAACAGGAATACTATTGCCCAGTCAGCAAAGCGGGAGAAGAAGGGGGGACCAGGTTTGGGGTTCCGTGATAGGCACGGAGGGTAACCTACAGTATGTTCACCATTGTCTCTCTTAATGACGACGAGAGGGTCATGGAATTCCTCGATATGGAGTCCGAGAAGGTGGTGCGAAGGGAAATTCTTCCGGCATTCTAGGCATCGGTTTGTGTGGAACTTGCTGTAATGGGTTTCATAGTCGCCATACGTCGTGAACTTGAGAGGTTCCTTGTGGGGGGGTAGGGAGCATCGCATGGCTACCGATTTCTGGTCGTCTTCGTCTCCGCTTTCCACTGCCGAGTCTAGCTCAGTATACTTGACCGCAGGGCGTAGAGAAACTTCGGCATCGGGCCCGGATTCTATAGCTTCTTCGGGCTCTCGTGAGCGCTTCATCTTTTTGCGGTGAGAGGAAAGAGAGCTTTGGTGGGGTATTTTATTACTTAGGTATCCAGCCTCGGCACGAAGCTTGGTCCAGATATCCGCTTGCGAACCACTTTGATTGCCTGTCCTACTTGTAGGTTTTCCGGGGATTTCGGCGTCACAGAGAAAGGCTGGCGCTGATAAACAAGGCTGTTAACTTAGTTGCTGGTAAGGTGTGAGAGGTACCTTGAAGTGATGAGTGGCTTGGTCACGAAAATCGTCCATTTGGCACTACGTCGATAGTGGGGAACCCTTGCTTGATTCCTCGAAGTCTCGGACCCCTGTTGGTCAGAATAAATACTGCCGTACCTGAACAGTCATAGCTGTTCAATGCGATAGTGGACGAGAGGTGCACCCTCCATGATGTGCCATATAATATTGATGATTCCGAACGGAAAGGAGCGTTGGCATCCTACCGCCTGTTTCTCGTACATGTGAGGCCAGTAATATATTCCTCTAGGCACTACTAAATGGTAGTAATTAATGGCTGCCCAGCAATAGAAAATGTTTATTCTCGAAGGAAGGCGCTCTACTGCGTGCATGCTGTTGGTTGGTTCAGAAGCCAACAGGAAAGGACGAGGGGGAAGATGAGGCAGAGACAAAGGGAGGGTGAGACATGAATGCGCAAAGCATCCCACGACTGAGAAAGAGAAGACGCTAGACAATGCGTCAAAACCAGACAATCTGTATTTTACTGACATGCTCTGCCAAACGAGAACCTTCACGCACTATACGACATCTCTGGGTAACCTTAATCCATCCTCGCCTCGCAAACTGCAACCTTCGTGATCAAACCGGTGGAGAGTCCATGTACCTCCACTGCGACTGGACCCGAAGAAATCCCACTCCGCCCGACAAGACTGGGTCGGGCCACTAACCCGACATAATTTTAGTAGAGCGTACGCTTGAGAACCTACTGTACTGAAACTTGAGGGGCTCGCCTCACCCGCCGGCTACAAGTTCAGACTCGCGTCAACACACTCTCACCACTGTGTCGCATTCTCCACCCCGGTCTTCGCTTCACAATCGAGTACGTCCGAGTCTGCTGCCAACAACAATAACCTTTTGTCCTTGCGCCGCCCCGTCGCCGCCACCGTAAACTCCTCGAGCAAATGTGTTCCCTGACGGCCGCCGCTTTGATAAATGAAAGTCGCGACCTCCTCGGACACCTTGCACTTGTCCTCCCTCCGAGAAATGAAATGCCTTGAGCCCTACGTCTTTCTTGGCCGAGAGTATGAGTTATGATCCAGCCGCATAGCTGAGAACACCCGCCTACTTCCATCTTGTCGCCAAGCCTGCTTTGCGCAAGACTACACCCCCCTCCTCTCCCCGTCTCCGCCGGCACTGGGAAGGCTCTCGAAATCTCGCCCTCCAGAAAACCGACAATGGCTACGCCTGGTAATCAGGCCAAGCAGGCATGGCAGTAAGTTTTTCCTGTCTTCAATGATTATCCCGTCGCTTGCTTGAACGCTACACCCTGCCCTCGGAGATTTTACTGTGTCTTGGATTTTTTTTCTCCTTTGTGCTCCTCGCTCTGTGAACAGATCGTGAATGCTGACTACATATGTCAACCAGTCAAGCCCTCAAGCTGCGCAAGCACTTGACGAAACAGATAGAGAAGTTGAAAGCAGATGGCTCATCATCTGGCACGAATGTTTCCCACTTTGATGCTATTAGCGAAAGCCTGGAGCAGTGAGTACCGACTGGACCCCGATTTGCGCGCGATAGTCTACTAATTTCTTGGTGCTCTATAGATTTCGCCTTGCCTGCGTGTCTACCATTTTCCTCGATTTCGAATTCGCCGTTTCTGAGACGTCCGAAGATATACTGTGGCAAATCCACAGCACTATCAACACCGAGTTCCGTCGAGTTTTAAGCAAATTCCGAAATAATTCGGCGCACGTTGTCGAAAGACGCAGGGTGGAAACAAAGTATAACCAATTTCTGCGGATAGCGCAACAGTTTTATAAGGGATACATCCAGCGCCTATCTGCTCGTTATGACGTCCGGGAGCTCAAGCGTGTTGCTCATGGCATTGCCGCCGAGCAGATGCCGGCAACCGATATGATAAGCCCTGTGTCAGAGGATCTGAAATCCAAAGTCTTGACCTCTTGCCACTCTACCTTGATTCGCCTTGGGGATTTGGCGCGTTACAGAACTCAGGCAAAGCATAAGAAGTCGAGCTATGAGACCGCGCTCTCATATTACAGCCTGGCGCATGACCTTGTCCCTGATTCCGGGTTCGCTTTTCATCAGATGGGCATTATCAACCTCGACGAAGGAAACCATCTTGATGTCATTTATCATTTCTACCGTGCGTGGGCTGTCAAGGACCCTCATCCGAACGCCAAGTCGAATCTCGAATCCAAGTTCAAGGGCCTCCAGACTACCAACTCTAATTCGAGGAACAAGCCATCAGTATCCACGCCTAATGATGCGTTCATCATTTGGTTTGTTCGACTACAGGCGCTGTTCTACAAGGGAGAGGCCGTCACACCCCAGCACACTGAGCTTGATAAAGAGGTCATCCACCGTCTGGCAATGGCTGCTAAAGATCCCGCCACTGCACCCATTTTGTTGAAGATGTCACTTGTCAACATTGCTGCATATTGCATTTCTTCCGCTCAGTATAAAGGTAAGCTTACCGGACCGCAAATCAATTCGTCTTCGGATCTAACAACCTTAGATTCCAAATCAGAAACTGCCTTCCGATTTTGGCAATATTCTTTGGATTTCAACATCCGATTTATTCAAAAGTTGTGCGATATCATCGCGGATGAGCTCAAGCAGTCCCTGTCCCAGAACGAAGAGGCATCGGCTGAAGGGGGTCTGGCTATTCCGGACTTACCAACTGTCAGTGCTCTTCTCCCAATTTTGCGAATTTCTTGTATCTGGCTTGCCACTCATCGCCGCGAGGTCTTCGCTGTGACGGGTGCGCTTAACAATTCTATGGTCGCGTTGGTCAAGAGTTTGGCAACTGTCATTACCCTGATAGCGGCGGCAACATATTCGCGGACGGATCTGGGTACCTGTCCATATCTCCTTGACGAAGACGTGGAGATACGCGGCCTAAAATCATTCGGCGAGGATATGGTCCCGGAAGCGTGCAGATGCCACATTGACGATAACGGCAAAGCGAAGCTTCATTTGCAGTCCAAGGACGATCGTCTCCCCAAGGCACGCGAAGTCACAGGCAGAATGTTGGACACGCTCCGTTGTGCTTATTTCTTGACTGAGGACCCAACTGTCCCGATTACCACTCAGGTTTATGATGGCTGGCTTGTATTCGTGTATCAACCGGTCACAGCCTCTCAGCAACATAGTGAGGTTCCAGTCTCTCAACAGAGAAGTGAGATTCCAGACTCCCAACAAGAGAGTGAGGTTCCAGACTCTGTGCCCACGGACTCTGCCCCAACCACCTCTGTCCCGACTACCTCTGCTCCTGTTTCTTCAGATGTTCCGCTGGAGAAGAAAGCGCATGCAAAGAGATTGCCTCGTTTGGATGTCGGGGCGTCGAATAGCCAGTCTTCGCCACGTAGGCAGAATCTGGCGGCCAGCTCCAGCCCTCTACCCACCTCCAGGGCTGCTACTGCTGATGTTGCAGCAATTAACGGGCTGGACGATGCCGACAAGACTGTTGTCAACATGCTATCTCCCTTCATCGATTGCCCGTCTCCAGAATCCGATCATGACATGGACGAGACATCTTATGGCATGCACAGTGCAACTGCCAATGAAATCGCACAAGAGCTCCTGGCCAAATACGAACCTGAGCAGCAGGTCGACCCTGAGGCAGACCCAAGCTCGTTCGCATCAACTTCCGGGAGGTTTGCGCCCATGCATTGGGCTAGCTGGGACCCAAAGCCTACTTCCTCTGGAATGCTTCGGTCGACTTCGATGCTGGGCAACGGAACTGTGCCGATCCATCTTAGCCCCGGCCGCTCATCTCGTGCTTCGGTCCCTGCCGGAGAAAGTCTTGATGATCCCTTCCGATCACCGAGTCAGCGATCTCCCAGAAGCCTGCAGTCTCGAGCTGCCAGCGGACTTGGAAACTCACACTCCTTGGCAGAAGAGGCTCACAGGAGCCAACTGCTCCAGGCGTTCTCCAACTCGCCTGCCCCTCGGCAGGCTTCTATCTCTGGGTGGCCACAGGATCAGAATGTGTCTTTGGGCTCGACTTGGGGAGTTTCTCTAGGTCCCGATATGGGAATTACATCCTCAAGCAACTTTACAAATGTCAGCAGCCTCTATCAAGGCACGCCAAGCACTGGATTCATTCAAGCCGGTATGCCCGTTTACGGGAGTGGCTCTCTGGAAAGCAATAGAGTCCAAAATGGAGGCTCCCGAGAACAGCCAGCCTCCTCATCGACTCGCCGTCTTCAAATGGACAACAGAGCATGGAACTACAACGCAAAGGTTTTGCAGTCAGCATTTCAGGGTGAGGAGTAGTTGCGCTACGGTTACAGGGTTCACATAATTTGTGACACCTAGACTTGCTATTTATTCCCCACGCACCGGTATCGACTGCTGGATGGTGCACGCCGGAGTTTTACCTACACCCTTGGCCTTGGCTCGAGTCAGATCCAGGAGGACGACTGGACCTTGCAGCAAGATGTTACAAGTTGTGGTCGTTGTGCTCAGCCTGGGGGTCTCAATTCGCATGTACGTCATGCCTCTGGCCTTCATCAAAAGTCTGCTAGAGTGAGCATTTGTTTCGAGATCTTGACTACTATGTTGGGCCGATGGATTTCTGCCTTTTTGGCGCGATAGCTCTTCAGGAGCTGCGCGGCCCTACAGGAGCTGGATTTATTAGACCAAATAGTGAGAATCAAGGAAGTGGTGTCCTTATTGGAGATAGTCTGCAGTGCCCGTTGGGCTTGGCCAAGGAGGTTCAAAGCATGCTTACGCTGATGGACGGATGGTAAAAGAAGAGGGTTTATCTCGAATGTCAAACCCGTTCAGAATTTTGTTATTTTCAAGTATTTCTTGATAAGATGAATGTTGCATCGTGGAGGATGCTAGCCGCTATGAGAATAAGACGTTCCCTTGATTTATGGGCTCTCTCAAATGCAAAACGCCGTTGTTGAAACCTTTTCCATGTCTTCCATATTTGTTCATAACTCTACGCCGTGCTCATTACGACATACATGGCTCCCTCCCAGGAGCCCTCAGGAGCTTAACTCCTCTGATGATCTATTGGCCATAGACCTGCTTGGGGAAGGGGTAACTAGAAAACCGGTTAGTATTGTAGGAAGCAAAGGTAAGAATTACCGGTATTTTGACTTACGAAGGACCGAGCTCCTGGATGCTCAGCTTGGCAAGCCACTGACCCATGTCGATGGAGGTGGCGAGGGACTTGCCCTCGAGAAGGCCGGCCAGGAAACCACCGGCAAAGGCATCACCGGCACCGTTGGTGTCGTTGATCTTGGCGGGGTCGATGGCGTGGACGGGGAACTCCTGGATGGCGTCCTCGCCCTGGATGGCGACGAGGGTGGGCTCGGTGCCCTGGGTGACGATGGCGACGCGCTTGCGCTTTCCGTTCTTCTTGGGCAGGTTGGCGAGGACCTTGACGACGTCCTTGGGCTCCTTGGAGGGGAGGTCGTGGGACTCGGCGTAGGCGGCGGCCTCGGTCTCGTTGCCGATGATGTAGTCCCAGTAAGGGGCGGAGGCGTCAACGACCTCCTTGAAGAACTGGGGGATGAAGGGGGCAGAGAGGGAGAGAACGAAGGTCTTGTTATGCTCAGCGGCCTGCTTGGCGAGCTCCATGATGGCAGGAGGAGAGACTGATGCTGGGTCAGCTGCTGTATTAGGAATTATGCTGGTTAACTGAAGACGTACCGGTGAAGTGGAAGCCACCAATGTAGTAGACCTCGGCGTTCTCAACAAGGCTCCAGATCTCGGGCTTCTTCAGGTGGTCAAGGCCGTAGTGGTTGGCAGCACCAAGGTCAGTGACGAGACTGCGGTTGTGGCCAGTAATGATGGCACCGCAGCGGCCGGTCTTCTCCTTGGGGTCAACACGGTACTCGACGCGGAGGCCAGCCTGCTTGACGGCATCCTTGAGGATGGCGGAGTACTTGTCGTCACCAGCACCACCAAGGTAGACAACGCTGTTGGGGGGCAGGATGTACTGGGCACCACGGGCAGAGTTCTGGGCAGCACCGCCCGCAATCAGCTTGGCATCATAGTTGTTGAGAAGCTCCTCATACAGAGGAATGTGCTTCTCCTCGGCCAGGATGGCGTCGTTGGCCTTCAGCTCATACTTATCCAACAGAGCCTGGTCAGCTTGAGCCTGAATGTCTATGGAGAAACGGTAAGCAACATTTTACAAGGCGGGGCGGGGCATTCAGGCGGTAAGGCCAATTGATCCCAGATCAGGCCTGGAGAGCAAAATTGAATGAACATACCAAGGAGAGGGTTCTCCAGGGCGAGAAGAGCGAATTCCTTGCGGGCAGCCATTGTGTCTGTGTAATTCAATTGGATTTTTAATTATGTAGGAAGAACGGAGGTGAGAGAGTGATATAATTAATTTGGGACAAGGTGGGGTGGAGGGGGAGGGGCAAAGTTGCATTGGGATGGTTGTTGAGTGAGCGAGGTACAAGGTACTTGTTCTCATATCCTAGCAAGTCATTTAGGTGTGTGCACATCTCTAGCTGACGGCGTCAACTGAAGAAAGAATTAACAGTATACACAGAATCACTCAGTTTGAGAGTAATATATCAGACGATCAAAAGAGATCTCGTTGCGGTTCAAGAATCTTCTGCCAGATCGCCAAGTACTGGATACCTACTTGCGAGAAAATACACGTGGGGTTATCCTTGATCACATCAAATCCTCTCTTCGTAGCTAAGCTGAGAGTGTATTGTCCAATGGAGCTCCCTAATATATGATTCTTTTTTTATTTGTGGTATGTAGACAACAAGGGGTAGTAAGGATGGATAGCTTGTCAAATACAAGAAACCGAGGATCGTCCTGCTACCTTTCAATGTGGAAGGGTGCAATTCAAGGTGTCCTTAAAGGCATTCCATAACCGGAGGACTCTAGCGAATTGGATAGGCGCAATGGGCTTGAATTTCTGTGACATTGATGTGACGATTCATTATAACATATAGACCTTGATGATTTGGAGCTTCGCTCCCAGGCTCATCACACAGCACAGATATAGGGACCAAGTTGAGAAATTGTTTGGAGACGAATTTTGTGCGCCAAATGTCAAAGTGATTGCCCTCGGAGCTACTACACTTCTGCTCTCAGTAGTACCCTCCAATATTCCAAGCAAGCCAGTGTAACACCATCCCATGAGACCATGAACCAAGCCGCTTTACTCCTTGGTCTTTTGAGTACCGCGAAGCAGACCTGTCCGCCTGGCGGCAATAAGACCAGCCTTTTGACCCTGGGCAGCGTACCGCGAGATGGTAGAAGCCTTACCAATGTGTTGATGGTTACCCTAGATAGGTGATTAGTCTCCCCGTTCGTTTCCAGATGTATGTCTTGGTCATAACTTACACCACCGTGAGGATGGTCCACAGGGTTCATAGCAACACCACGAGTCTTGGGCCAGCTGTTGCGCTTGACAGCGAACTTATGCTTAGCGCGAGAAGCCTCTGTTTATAAGGTTAGCAATTTATTCATGAGCCCAATGGGTCAGAGAGCAAGAAAGACGTACTCAGGAGAGGCTTGTCGGTACGACCACCACCAGCGACGATACCGATCATACCACGGGCGCCGGAAAGAACGACCTTCTTGGCACCGGAGGGAAGCTTGATGCGAGTCTTGCCCTCATCAGGGTTGTGGCCGATAATGGTGATGTAGTTGCCGGAGGTGCGGCCGAGGCTGCCACGGTCGCCGATCTTCTCCTCGACGTTGGAGACGACGGTACCCTCGGGCATCTCGCCGAGAGGGAGGACGTTTCCGACGGTCAGAGCAGCCTTCTTACCGGCGTAGATGAACTGGCCGGTGTACATGCCCTCGTTGGCAATGAAGGTCTCGGTAACCTGCTTGAACTTGTAGGGGTGGCGGAAGACGACCTTGGCGAGAGGAGCACCACGACCTGTTCCAGAACCTCTGTTAGCAATTCGCTCTACCACCATTGCCCCAATCCCAAGCCCCCATTGGACATTGCTGAATGGTTTCGATTTCCGAAGGGTTCACTTGCCGGCATCGTGGACGATCTCACGGACAACACCTCTCAGGTATCCATGGCGCTCGGCGTAGTCGAGGTTTCTGAACTTGGCAGGGGCCTTGTTCAAGCGCGTGTTGGCAGCTGCAATTCCTCCGTTAGTATTCAATCTCGTTCGATGTGAAATTCAAGATTCGTCGTTTTCGACGTCGCGGGTCGGTACTGACTGAAGATGGATCCACGACCCTTGCGCTGGTTGCGAATGACTCTACCCATGGCGGCTGCTGTTTGTCAATGCTGTGTTGATTGAAGGTTAGTATTGATGGCAACCTGGGGTTGGGTTGTGGAAGTAAATACCTGGCTACGGCCGCTTGGTGTTTTGTCTAGGTCACCTGTCGTGGAGTTGCTATGATATTTTTTTTGTGTGTGGTACCTTGAAATTTAGCGGAGGAGCCCTGACCACGTGACGTCCACATTAAACCTCAATGTGGGTCCAAATGCTTGATCCCACCCTGAGTCGGTCCCAACCACGACCGACGGTTTTCTGAGCACTAGGAGCACGAAGGCTCCGAGGCTCCTCCCGAATCACTGTGTACTAGTTGTTGGCAGGTACAAACTATTTTGCCTATTATGTTTTATCACCCTTATCTGTTTTTCAACCCCGGTAAAGCGCATGTTTGATACAGGACTGGAAGCACTCAGACAACTTGTGCATGTATTTTACCTACCAACGTGTAGGTTGTCACGTCAGCGCGGCACCAAACCTGGATTCAGGTCGCGTCTTGATTCCACGACAATGATGGAATTGATGCCCTCATTCATGTGGCACCAGATTGTGTGAACTGGCCTGGCTGCAGACCCACCGAGCAGCTCTCAACTGTCCTTGACTGGCCGCCAAAGAAGACGTGGCAGCTATCGCGCTCTTTCTTTGCCAGTTGCTTTGCTGCTTCTAGCCAGACGGATCAGCTCGATTTCGGGATCTGGGATGTTATAGGATGTTATGTCGGCTTTTTGAGACCTGGATGGGTTGGTCGCACTCCCGTGGTGGTCCAGCCAATAGCAGCCATTCGAGTTCCATTACTTTCTGGCTACATCATCCCTGGCACTTCAGACCTCGCGTCCAGCCGCCAAGTGCAACCATTGACCGCTGGATACACCTTGCTGTTTCCCGCTGGGTCAATGCCTCGACATGGCTTTGTGCTCTGAGGCACCTGTCCCTGCATACTCGTTTATTGGTATTCCATACAAAAACGTTATTGGGACCACTTCTCGCCTGTGCTGAGGCCTCACGGTGGTAGGACTACGCATGCTGGAAATGCTGCATGGACTGTCGTGTGGACGTGCGTGGAGCGTCATCCATTCCAGCCACCCTCAGAAGGCAGTTGGCAAATTTGTGGTCAACGGCTACTGGGCTGACTCTTCTGAGTTTGTCAGAGAACCATGGTAACGCTGGTCGTAGATTGAACGTGGAAGGAAGCGCACCTTCATGCCAGCAAATGCTCACGGATAGGCACAGGTCGCGAACGGTAAGTTAGAAAAAAACAAACCTGCGGAATCCTTCATCTACCGTGCTTGCCTACTGCTCTCCAACCCTGGCCAGTGTCCAAAAAGGCGTGTTCATTAGTGCATGTTAAATCTCGTCGCCGATCTATGTAATAAGACTTTCCCCTTCTTTCTCCACACCTTCTCTCCTACCTTATCCATCCCGCCACATCTACCAAGTACCTTCTACGAGCCTGGGCGCTTCCTACTGCAACAAACCGCATCTCCCAAAAGCCGTTCATCATGGCTGCGGCGGACGACTCTTCCGAACTGTCATCGCTCTCATCTCTGTCTCCTGCGCCCTCGGACGACGAGATTGAGAAGTCTCTTGCCACAGGTCCCAAGTCGAAGAAGGGCATTCTCAATTATTTCCCTAAGGTATCGGAGCTCCCACCTAAAGAGCCCTCGCCGCCTCCGCGCAAACGGTCGCCGTCGCCACCACACGAATATGTGTTGGCAGACAATGCCGACATTGCGGTATGTTTCCCCGCCACATAATTGTTTTCGACTATCTGTTTTCCTGGTATTCTCTCGTTTGCTTGTTGCACAGCACTGGGTGGTATTTTTTGGGTGTTGGGGGGGGCAACCAGGGTGCTGTGCGCGCTGCGGCGCCCGTGTCACGCGTTCGCGTCCTAACGTCATAGCCTACAACATGTTTGCACGTCCTAGATCGCTAACCAGCAGCGCAGTTCATTGTTATGTTCCGAAGCCGATTCAACGATGCGTTTCCGAAATCTCTCGCCCACTTTGGACCTCAAGACATTGAACGCGACGTGGTTCAAACCGTTCCGGGCGACCGAGCAGAGCATTTCCTATGCGCCGTACTCGGCCTGCTTCTGAATCGAAAGCAAGACGTCAAGTGAGCGCAGACAGCCTCGATGTATAAAGTCGCATATGTTAATAAGATCGTCTAAACAGACCGGGTCACTATGGAAGGGCGCTTGAAGACGCAATTGCTTCCCACAAGAACCAATGGGCCTCCTCCTGGGATGGCAAGAGCCCGCTCTCTGGAGGGAAGACTTTCAACTCAATGGACCCAACAGAAAGAGTTCGTGCCGGTATAATTATCTCCTTCTCATCAGTTATACTGACCATCTTCTCAGCTCACTCTACTTAAAACCCTTGTATTATGGTCGCTTTCATCTTCGGAGACTGTTAAAGGTTTAATCAATCAATCCTACAAGCAAAACCGCCACGAGGACGATATGAACCAACCTCGGTCGGTGCAGCCCTGGGGCACAGATGGAGACAGACGCCGGTATTTCTTGATTGAAGGCCAGGATGACACAGCCTTCCGAGTCTATCGCGAGAGCAACTTTTCAGGAGCCCAACGGACTTGGTGGAGCGTCGCCGGTTCAATCGAAGAGTTACAGTCGCTCGCTGAGAAGTTGGAGACAAAGGACGGTGGGCCCAAGGCAAGAAAGTTTGCCCAGAAGATCAGAGCAGCGCTCCCACGATTCGAAGCCGGAGAAGATGTAAGAGTCTACTCTCTCTGCTATGTTTGCTTGCACTTGTACGCTTGTAATGCTAACTGATTGGACAGAAACGCAAACGTCGAGAATACAGACAGTTACAAAAAGAGCGATTCAAACGCCCGGAAGTTGGATTTTCGTCATACGAGGGACGGACACGCGGGAAGCGCATCAAATACACATACTCCGATGATGAGGATATTTTTCTCTCTGATTCAACAGCGAACAGACGTTCTGCTCGCAACACAGGCACCAATACACCGGCCGAGACGGGGCCAGTGACAACCGCAAGCGGGCGCCAGATTCGAGCACCAACTCGGCTCAACAATACTGCCGGAGAGGGAAGCGCCCCAAATAGTGTGAAGGGCGACACCCCGGAATTCGACAAGGAAAACTCGCTGGCACAGGGCGGCCGGCCGAAGCGGTCGGCTGCGATTCATCACGGCCATAACGGCTGGGCGGCTTCTGGATCTCGCCGCGTGCGTGGTGAGACAGACGAGGACGAGAGTGAAGCATTTGGTGACGATGAGGATGATGTCGACGCCCATGTACCTGAAGAGTCAGATGATGACGACGACTTTGATGAAGACGAAGCTATGGTTGACGACGATCTGGACGAGCAACCACAGAGTCTTCTCATTAAGCTCTCTGTTACACCACCCAAGCTGCGAACAGCTCTCGATCCATTGGACGAGAATCAAAAAACGAACGGCCAAGTTGTGCCTCGTCTTGATCTAAACTCTAACACGCCTAAATCTGTCCAGATAGAGATGAAGGATGCGCTGGACCAAGCACCACTACAAGACGAGATTGATGTGAAGGCGGCAGCTCCTAGCGAGACGATCACAATCACTCAGAAGTCGGTTCCAACACAGCCAATTCTAGAGTCGGCGGCGACAAAGCAGCCAGAACCAGCTCCGCCCACTACATCTCTAGCGTTCAGAGGGAGCCCTTGATTTTCTTTTGGTTTAGGTGGGAAGGGACTAAAACATAGTAATGACAACCACACGGTGAAAATCTTCTCGGCAGGTGGGGTGCTTATTTGTCTGGAGTTTGGGTTTTTTAACATAATGGCATAAGGATCTGGGCTGGGAAGAATAGAACTTGTCTGTACTCGGTGTCGAACAATTCATGACGCCGTCAATCGGCTTTTAGGCCAAAGCACGAACTTTTGCCTTCACTGAATGACATGAAGAGAGATGAGACCAACCCTTGATGTGGCCCAGGGAGATTCGTCTCATCGGGCATTCAAGTCCAATCCGATACCTGAAATAAAGGAAGTAGTGGTCATTACATATTAATTTGTCCGTTAGGTCCATGCAAGAGGGAGCTAATATACAATGCATGGGAAACCGAGTACTATCTCTACCTGGCCGCTGGCCTCTTAGGTATGACCCAATTATTCACTCCCCACCACCATCTTCTTATACGGGCACCAACACCATTGCCGTGATACCTCGCATTCCGGTTCCACTGTTGCCAGCCGCAGAGAAAGAGATTGTAGAGCAAGCCTTGAGCCAGGGGCATCAATACCTGGACGTGTCGCGCTCCCATTAGTCGGTGCCTCCCACATTGCACCTAGTTCAGGAAGCAAGGACTTACCTGATCCCTCACAGTGATTGCTACTACTTCCCACCATTTGTCCGCGGAGGAGATGCTGCGCAGATAGCTCTGCTCGAAGCGAAGGTCGGGAAGAGGTGGCAGCTCGTGGGATCTCGGAATCGGCCGCAGCACACTGTATGGGATATCCTCCACATCTTCCTCTTCCTCTTCGTCGTCTAAGCCACCGTATCCATGCTTGGCGCTCTTCAGGACGACAGGTTCTCTCTCGTCGGCGGCAGTTGCTGGGGCGTGATCGAGACGAGGGTCCGGGTGTCTGTTGATGGATGCGGTCTGGATGGTCTCCGCAAGCCCTGTGGCGATTGAATCCATCCCTGAGAAGCTGCAGCTATTGATCAACAATAGCTTGGGATCAGGGAAGGGAACGTGGGGTCAATGAGTTCGACGTGTTCGAACTATCCCTTGTGTTGCGACCGTGGGTTGAGGTGCGTTGGGATCTAGCGTTTTGCCGGGCGGTGAAAGACGAGGATGACCTCAACTGGTGTCCGTTGACAAGGATGTTCTGGAGGTGGCTGCTTACGTACAGTTTCATTAATTTTTATGGCACGAAGAAAAAGGGATCTTCAACACAGTGCAGGTAATGATTGAAAGAAAATCATTATTCTACTGATTCAAAGCAAATACTACTGGTACTTTCCTCGGTCTTTCTTCCATCATTAAGCCCAATATTATGGGAAATCATCACACTGTCAAGGAAGGATTTGCTTGAAGTGTGCCTGGTAGCTGGTGCATAAGGTAGTGTGTCATGCCTCTAGTAAAGAAGATTGGAGTCAAATCCTGTGCCGTGGCGCTGGACTCTGGAGTGCAAGAGTGCCTTGCAGGCAGGGCTCGCTACTTGAGTCACCCCCATAAAGCAGCAGGTGCCAGTAGGCAGGTTTCAGTTAGGTGCCTGCTGGACAGCCCGCTATGACGGCAGTGTGCCCCACAGAGCGTGTCGGACAGGTGCCTCTGCGCAGTGGCAGGCCAATTAGCCAAGCAGCGCGCTCATGCCTTACCACCTGCGCAGAACAATGGGAGCTGTACTGGAAATTTATAAAATCCATCTAGGCACCCAGTAGCCCCGTCTGGCATTGAATAACACCGCACCACATTTCTCACTTTTCTCCTCCCCCTTCCGCGTCCAAATCACCTCCGTCTGGGGTCAACCTTATATTTTGCTTGCGAGGATACTCAAACCGCTGTCAAAATGAGTGACGCTCAGGCGAACGAGGCCGAGAAGAACGTGAGTCGATTATCCCTCTGCCTGTTTCTTTTACACTGCCCGCTATACGCCTGGAGGCAGCGTGTGTGGTGTGGGAGAAAAAAAATTGTAGCCCCTCTCCGCGTGTGCCCCGCGCTACGGCTGCCCGCCCTCTGATTCCCATGCCCCTCATACAAGCCCTCTGTTTTCGACATGTTGAGTTGTTGTTCAAGCAAGCTAATAATGGGCGTGGAAATCATGTAGATCGAGATATGGAAGGTCAAGAAGCTCATCAAGCGCCTTGAGGCCGCCAGGGGAAATGGAACCTCCATGATTTCGCTGATTATCCGTAAGTCGCATTGGCAGGATCAGCCACGTGTAGTGCCGAAAAATTGACTTGATGGCGCAGCTCCCAAGTCCCAGGTCTCCCAGATCGCCAAGATGTTGGCTGAAGAATACGTATGTTGAATTCCCTGGGCACGGCGTCCTTTTTCCTCGAAGGCTTTGTCTAATGCGAGCGCCTCAGGGTACCGCCTCCAACATCAAGTCTCGTGTCAACCGACAGTCCGTCTTGTCCGCCATTACCTCCACCCAGCAGCGTCTCAAGCTCTACAACAAGGTCCCCCCCAATGGACTTGTTGTCTACTGTGGTGAAATCTTGACCTCCGAAGGCAAGGAACGAAAGGTCAATATTGATTTTGAGCCATTTAAGCCCATCAACACGTCTCTGTACCTTTGCGACAACAAGTTCCATACCGAGGCCTTGGCCGAGCTGCTCGAGTCCGACCAAAAGTTTGGTTTCATTATTATGGATGGTAATGGAGCTCTATTTGGTACTCTGAGCGGAAACACTCGTGAGATCGTTCACAAGTTCTCTGTCGATTTGCCCAAGAAGCACGGACGTGGTGGTCAGTCTGCTCTGCGTTTCGCCCGTCTCCGTGAGGAAAAGCGACACAACTACGTCCGCAAGGTTGCCGAGTTGGCGGTTCAGAACTTCATCACCAACGACAAGGTCAACGTCGCCGGTATTATTCTTGCTGGTTCCGCCGATTTCAAGAACGACCTGAACGCCTCCGACATGTTCGACAACCGTCTTGCGACCAAGGTCATCAAGGTCGTCGATGTGTCGTACGGTGGTGAGAACGGTTTCAACCAGGCCATCGAACTCTCGTCTGAAACGCTCGGCAACGTCAAGTTTATTCAGGAGAAGAAGCTCATTGGAAAGTACTTTGAGGAAATTAGCCAGGACACCGGCAAGGTCTGCTACGGTATTGAGGATACGCTCAAGGCCTTGGAGCTTGGTGCAGTTGAGACCCTCATTGTCTACGAAAATCTAGAAATTTCACGCTGGACTCTCCGCGACAGCGAGAACAACGAAACTCTTCTTCACACCACCAAGCAGCAGGAGCAGGACAGCCGCGAGAAGTTCCAGGACAAGAACACCGGCCAGGAGATGGAAGTCGTTACTCAGGAGTCATTCTTGGAATGGATTGCTGAGCACTACAAGGACTTTGGTACCGCGCTGGAATTCGTCTCGGACCGATCTACCGAAGGAAACCAGTTCGTCAAGGGTTTCGGTGGCATCGGTGGTATTCTCCGATACAAGGTCAACTTTGAACAGTTGGCTGATCTGAGTGACGATGATGACTACTACGACGGTGAGTTGCATCCGATGTGACACGTTGTTTCAGTGACTGACAGCAGAAATAGATTGACCAGTGGAATCCCTCGAAACCGAGGGACCAACTCAAGGTCAACCGTCTGAACAAGCACAGCATGAAGGGCAATATGCGAGGTCCATGTCGCATGATGCCGCGCCGATGTCAGTCGCCCATAAGCGGCTGATGGGCAAAGGTGGCCTAGCAATGCTGGCCCACCGAGCTTCGCGGCCGAGCCCACTCCGCGCAACGATGACGGCGACTTGAGTTGAATAACGGTGGATAAAGAAGGTGAGCGCGCTTGTTCGCTTCCAATTTGCCCTGGACTGCTTGTTTACAAGGACTCGTAGGCGCCGCCGAGAAAGTTACCCCAGAATGGCACGGATCATGAGCATTGTAGAGCAGGTTTGCCAATATCACCACTTGCCGGCTCTGCAACCGCCATGTTTAAAAAGGTCAACCCCAAGATGAAGTAGTTTCAGGGTAGGCATTCCTGTTAGCGTTGCGAATGCGTGACCCCCTGCGTATCAATAGAGCAAATAGCTAGCTACCAATAAAGAGGTCGTCCGCACATTCATGTCTCTCCATGATTTTGCTGTTACATACTTGCACCACCCAGATTTGAAACAAAATCAACTCCCATTGCAAGTAGAGCTTCCTGTTGCAATAATGCAGTCGGTAAGCATATGAAGTGCAAGCACATTGTGCTATTATTACCTTGCTACACCGCACTAGGAGACAAGTTCATCCCTCTGAATTATGCGCCCACCTCAGTCGCTACCAAATGCAGCCCATGCAAGCACAACCCCAGCCAAACCCCTACAGCACGGCCCAGAGCAAGCATGCTGCAGCGGCACTACGTAAGTCGCTCCAATCCAATGGGACCAACACATTCAGAGCAAACAACCCATACCACCTTCTCAACAACCTGGCTTATCTTACTTTAGGAGGCAGGGAGAGAACCGTACATATACCCACCGTCCAAAACCTACGATCTTTTGATTATCGACGTCCTCCTTTTTCTGCATCCATCGCTTTCTATTTAGTGACGTCCCTAGAGCTGTATATTGCTTAATTACAGGAGGATACCCAGTATAGACCCGCCCATACTTTCACTCACGCCTATGCGACTCTGACGACAGCACTCACCGACCAGCGTCGCCGAGCTGGCCACGACACGGATGACCGCCCAAATACTCTGATACCTGTCTGCATTCACATTGGGATCAGCCGCCAACCAACATGGCTGAAGCTTCCACCAGTGCGGCGGCACCGACCGTCAAGTCGACCCATCATACCGTCGCCGTGGGCCTGCACGAAGCTGTCCTCGACTCCCCGACCTTTCGCGCCACGGCCGCCCACTTCGCCGAGCAGATTGACGCAGTAGAGAAATGGCTAAACGGATATGTGTCATCGACATCCAAGCTGTTGCACGATATTCTCGCCCTCGAGGAGACGATCAACACATACCTCGCCAAGACGACCCCGTCGACTGATGGCGTCATCGATAATGACTACACCTTCCTTGCCCTGAAGCGAGTCGGCGATGGCTCCCGCGAGTGCTGGATGCAGCTTCTGAGCAGCATGAGGAGGATGGAGACCTCCGTTGTCGAGCCCGTCCGGGGGTTTCTAATGGGGGACATGCGCAACTTCAAGGAGATACGGAAGGTCCTGGAGCAGGCACAGAGGGCGTTCGATTCCACCTTGGCCCGATACGTCTCCCAATCCAAGACGAAGGAGCCCTCTGCCCTACGAGAGGACGCATTCTCCGTATACGAAACAAGGAAGGCCTATCTTCAGGCATCGATGGACTACTGCCAGCTCGCTCCCCAGGTGCGGTTTACTATGGACAAGCTGCTGGTCAAGGTATCGAATGAAGCTTGGAAGGAGATGAAGAAGGGCCGTGACGCTGCGACCAGTGCGACTCGGTTCGAACAGGAGATGGAGCGAGTACGGGGCTGGGCAAAGGAGATGGAAACGTCCGAGGGCATCTTCAGACGTGAGCTTCAGATCGCGCGGCGGGACCTAGGCGAGAACGCAATGACGGGCTGCAAGCCGTCGCGTGAGTTGGAGGACTACAGCACTTCAACCGTCCCCTTCCTCGGCTCTCGCGGCCCTGTCAGTCTCCAGCCCAAGGATAGCCAGGCAATCATCTCTGAGAAGCAGGGTTGGCTGTTCCTGAGGACTCTGTCCGGAAAACCCGCGAGACACAACTGGGTCAGGCGGTGGTACTATTGCCGAGACAAGGTTTTTGGATGGCTTATTCCAGGACCTCTGGGTGTCGTGCAGGGTGACGAGATTGGTGTTTTGCTGTGTAATGCACGGCCAGCTGTTAGCGAGGACAGGCGTTTCTGCTTCGAGGTCAAGACGAAGAGCCAGAGCTTGCTGCTGCAAGCCGAGACGCAAAATGAGCTGACTGAATGGCTCGAGGTCTTCGAATTTATGAAGAAGAAGGCCTTCGAGTCCAGCATGGACCGAGATCTCAACGCTTCTGGCAATCTCGATCCAGCCTTCTCAGTTACTCCCCCGGGCATTCCTGAGTTTTCTGCCAGGACTTTGGACGCGCATCTTAAACTGGGAGAAGAGCCAATTCCTCCCCCCGAGAGAGCTGGTACCCTCCCTGTCCCCAGCCCAGATCTAACGTTAAGCAACAGGCCGAGCTTCGATGTTAACGGCACCTTGACTCGCCGATCAATCACTGCCTTGAAACAAGATTTGGCACGAGAAGAAGGCGAGAGTGGACGAGAGCACGCGGCAAGGATCATCCAGAGGCTTGATCTTCACCGCAAAGCTACGTTCGGTGCCGGCGCTGAAGCAGCCCTTGCAAGCTCTAGCGGCTCTGCTGGAGGGCTGGCAAGCTTGATGTCGGCTAGTCATGCCATGATGCCCTCGCACGTTGGTTCTAGCTCGCCAAAGCAATCAGCCGTGAGGTTGACGTCTGTAGACACTCAAGGAGGAACACTCGCCCCCCTGACCCTGGCAAAACCTCCTGCGGTAACGAACCTGAGTCGGACTGCCGTCTTGACAGCAGCAACGCGAGCTGCTAGCAGCAGCCAAAAGAAAGTCCTGCCTTCAGTTCTAGCCAACTACTGGGGTACGAATGTCTACAACGAAATACAGGTTTCAGAAGAGCCCGTCCTTCCCAGGATGGACGATGATGATCCTGTCGGCGTTGTTGTCTCTGCGGCACAATCTGACTCTCTCGATAAGGCCGTTCAGGACAAGCAGGCAAAGGATCCACTGCCACTCCATTATCCTCCAGAACTACGGTTTCAGAATGCACAATTTAGATTGCTGTTTCCCAATGTTCCGACAGGCGAGAATCTTGTGCTGGTTTTCCGCGCAGCTTGGTCCAGTTCATCGGGTACAGAGTCAAAATCCCCGGGATTGGCAGGAGATGGACGCATCTACGTTACACCAGACAACATGTACTTCTATGGCCAGCAGATGGGTCTTGTTTCGGCCTATCGCCTAAGTTTGGACACGATCTCGGAAGTCACAGCCGCCCCAGGCAGAGAATGCGATTACATCTATCTGCATTTCGGCCAGAACGAGAGCAATGAGACTGGCTTCACGCGGCTTACAATCAAGATCTTCCTCGACGAGCTTCGCGTCTTGCATGCACGACTGAACTTACTCGTCGATGATCTTCAAGCAGAAGAGCCGATGGAGACAGAGGCACTCATTTCTGCGTTGATACAGATTGAGAAGGAGGAGTTTGAGAGGCCAAGTCCCGGTGCCGAGAGTTGGGAAGAAGTACCTGGCGACACACCCATAGACAATGGCACTCTTGGGGGACGGCCAGTGCGCGAGCGATCATTCCGAGACGCAACCCCCAGGGTACTATCAGGTTCTAGGTTCGCTTCGTCGAAGCTGCAAATGCCGCTTCATCCAGTAGTGTACGAGCCCGAGGACATGAAGGAACTAGCAGCAGAGAGACACTTTGAAATCAGTGCCAAGTCTTGCTTCCATGTACTCTTTGGAGACAAGAGCTTCGTTTTCCCGAAGCTCTATTTCGAACACCGGGCCCAGCAGATCGCGCAAGGACCTTGGGTTCAAATAGATCAAGGCCGGATGCGCCGCGAGTTCCAATTCAAGGTCAACTCGGCCGACATGTTGGGGCGATCTCACACAGCCGAAATAACGGACTATCAGGTGATTGATTTGCATAGCGATCATGTCACGTATGTTGTCACACATACCAGAACTGCTTGGCACTTGCCTTATTCGCAGCACTTCAAGCTCGTCACCAAGATCGTTATTACACACCTGGCCAAAACAAGGTGCAAGCTTGCCATTTATGTTAGAATCGATTGGTCCAAGTCGCCAGCTTTGTCGAGGAACCTTGTCGAACGCCAAGCAATGAGGGACATTCGAAACGATGCTGACGAGCTCGCTGAGCTAGCTACAGATCAAGTCCGCAAGCTAGGCGCGAGAACGCGGACAACAAGGGCAATCCAAGTGTACGGCCAAGTTGGGCAGCAAACTCAGGTCGTCGTCTTTTCTCCCGCCGCTAGAGACAGCAGCCGGAAACAGGCCACCAAGCCACGCACCCTCACGGCCCTGGTGTGGGAAACCGCGAGATCGTTCGGGGAGAGTGCTGTCTCGTCGCTCATCATGTGGTCAATCGCCGTCTTGAAGAAGGTGTTTAGCATTTTCACAGCCAACCGGCTGATTCTTGCGGTTCTGGGACTGAGCATCTTGACCAACCTATTGATCACCTCGACCGAGACTGCTGCTTGGTGGAAGGAAAGACGAGCAGCGGGTTTCATGAGACACTTGGGTGTTGGTCCAAATATCCTCATGAGTAAAGCCATTTACATGGCCGATCTCGCTGAGGCAACTGGAGCGAATGGCAATGAGGAGCTGTTCCCACATAACAGTACCTGCTTCAGTGGATTCCAGGACGTCTTGAGCGCAACTGACATGGATTCGCCCTGGGAAGATGCCGGCGTGTCGTTCACTACACCAACGACCCGATCAACAGCACTGCGACTTCGAAGAACACGCCAACGGCTTGGCTCCTATAGGCATGACTTAATCGTGGCTATGAGGGTAGTCAACAGCATTGAGCGAGAGATCCTTCAATCGGAGTGGGAGAACTGGCTGATGAATGAAAGCGCCCAGTGTGACGACCTCAGAGCAATCCTCGACGGAGATGATGAGAATACCAAGAAGAAGGACAGCGGTAGAAAAGCAAAGTCTTCGCAAAAGGTTGTCGAATCGATGTCACCAGAGAAAAAGGAAGTTCTGAGGGAGTGGAAGGACAAGTACTGTGGCAGCTGCCAGCGAGATCTTGAGACCGTGGTGGCGAAGAGGAGAGGCTCGGATTTGTATAATGGAGGGTATGAGTCGAAATAGCCGAGCCAGGCAGGCGGTTTTGGGCTGGGTGCAGTCGTTGTTTTGCGTTCTCAGCATGAATGCTCTTTCATTCCGTTCTTTTCCTTCTCACTCTTCCTTACTTACACTACATATTGTTCATGTTTAAACTGTGTATACCCCAGGTAAATACAAACTCGATGGAGAAATAAAATAAAAAAGCACGCCAGAGCTTTCCTGAAAGTTCGTCTCCTTCAAATTGTCTCCAACATACGAAACCGAATCTTTGCTATGGCTTTTCTCCAGCTTCTAGTAGAGCATCCTTGAGAGCTGGAGTGTTATAGGGTAGGGGAGCTTGGGTGACGTGGCGCCGAGCAAGGGTGCTGTGGCGAGTGTGGCGGTGCTCTGCTGGGCGGTGACATTACCCGTAGGCAAAAAGCGACACTGACGTCAGCAGTTACTGACGATGAACCCCTCCATTACTCTTTGTAACACTGAAAGGCAGGTAGGCGTAGACCGTCTCGTAGATATACCCAGGTAATCCTTGGGTTTTAATCTAAACCATTGCCTTAGACGCGAGGTGAAGAAGTTATTCACAACAGTTCCAGGTAATTGTCTTTGTCCGACCGATTTAGTTGCTTCTCTGTCCACCAATTACTCTCCTATCCCTGCTCGCCTCCCAGTCTCCCGCATTTCCCGGCGGCGCCTTTAAGTACTTGACCACCCTTCTCAAACTCGCAGCCAAAAGATATCCTTGTTTCCATTTTCCGGATTGTACAGAACTCTACATAAACCTCACGATGGGCAACCATCACGAACCATTGAGCTACCTGGGCCCCGTTGATTGGTCGGATGTCTCACCAGATGACCTGAAACCATTCTTAGACGACGTATTCTCTGCCGCTCAGACAGTCGTCGAGTCCGTACCGTCGCCCTCGAATCTCAACGAGATCTCCAGGGCGGCTGAGACTCCCGCGTTGCCCCGCTCCCAGTCCGAGTCTAGCCAGACGGGCGCTGCCCCGGCGACTTCTCCCAGCGCTCGTCGCCTGAGCCTCGCCGCAGTCGAGCAGTCTAGGAAGCTGCGGGAGGAATGGAAGGAGGTCAAGGTCAACTCGCGGGAGAACCCGCTCGACATCAAGGTGTACAAGCTGGCGGCCAAGGACGGCAAGGGGACGTGGTTCGCGAGGCGCAGCGTCCACGACGGCCTGTCGTACGATCAATGGGAGAAGGGGCTGGCCGAGGAGCTCATTGAGACGCTGAAGATCCAGGGACAGCCGGGAGGCGGGAGTATCCGAGGGATTGGGGCCGATAGGTTGGTAGAGCAGGTTGACGCTCCTGGATCTGGTCAGGCAAAGGGTTCGTACTGGCCCCCCCCCCCAAGCTATATCGGGGGATTCTTTATAAAGGCTAACTGAGTGGGAATAGTCTTTCACCTTTCTGCGCAATTTCCGGGCCCGACGTCTCCGAGAGACTTTGTGACGTTGCTGTTGAGCTCGGGCGCGCCGAAATTCGTTCCTGGGGATGCCCGGGTCGTCAGGCAGTTCATGATTGTCTCCAAGCCTTGTATTCACCCGGAATGTGAACCTCAGCAGGGTACGATTCGTGGACAGTATGAATCCATCGAGCTGATCCGGGAAGTATTACCAGAGAAGCCGGCCTCTGAGCGATCGTCGTCGTCAACAGACGTCTCGGGTAAAACCAAGAGCAGCGACAATCTGAGTACCACAACTCTGGATTCGCCCCCGAGTACCAGCAAGGCCCAGGAGCTTCCTACTACTATTGAGTGGCTGATGATAACCCGGAGTGATCCGGGTGGCTCGGTCCCGCGCTTCATGATCGAGAAAGGCACGCCTCCAGGAATCGTGAATGATGCTGGAAAATTTATCAAGTGGGTAACTTCCAGATCAACTCCCCAAGATGTCCGAGAGTCGACCGAGGGCGGGGACGTGAGGTCGGGAGAGGATGGTGTCCAGGACAAGCCACGCACAGAATCGAGAGACCCGCCGCCGTACGTTGAGGCGCTTCCCTCTGGCAGCAACGAGACATCTGTGCCGAACTACAATGAAGAAGATGTGGCTTCCTCAAATGGCGGCCTCTGGGGAATGGTCACCGGTGCGTTCTGGGGTGCCAGTTCTGTCGTTTCTGCTGGCCTGCGTATGCCTTTTGGCACATCCAGCCTTGGACAGGATGAAGACGAGGAGATTCAGCCAGGCACCCCATCTTTGGAAATAGGAGATGAAGAAGACTCGGGTAGTGATACTTCTTCGATCCGGACCTTTACCTCTGCCCTGGACAGGTCCATGACGCAGGAGGAGGAGGAAGCCTCGGCCGACGTTCAGCAATCCAACTCCGACGACAAATCCAGCGGAAAGTCTTCGCAACTCAAGGAGCTTAAGAAGCTCGAGGAACGCCGCCGCAAACTGGATGAGAAGGCCGCGAGGATGGCCGAGCGCTGGGAGAGCAAACGACAGGAGGACAAGGAGAAGGATGCGGCGGCGCTGACCAGGGCGCAGGAGAAGCACGCCAAAGAGGTAGCGAAGCACGAGGCGAAATACAACCGAGAGCTGCGCAGGATCAAGGAGAAGAAGGAGCAGGAGGAGCGCAAGGCTGAGCAGCGGAGGAAGAAGGCCGCCGAGCGCGAGGCCAAGGCGAACGCCGCCATGGAGCTTGAGAAGGTGAAGGCAGAGAGGGACTATGCGCTCAAGCAAGTAGAATTGCTCAAGGCCCAAGTCGGAGAACTTCAGTCCCAAAATACCATGCTTACAGCGAAATTGGGAAAGTTGAATGGTTTGGATACCAGCGATTCGGCCTCGGTGTCATCAAAGAATACGCAAGGTGGCAAGTCGCCGAAACTGTAAGAATTTTGAGATAGGTGACGATATTTGTTATTAAACATCGAATTGGCATAGCGATTGCAGATTTATTTTTTGGCGGGCTTCTGAGAATTCACATTGTACAATTAACGAGGATAAACGACGAAATATTAGTTGACATGTTTGGTATTAAAATATTTCTCTATTCTAATGGCTTGACAAGTAGGTTAGAAATGTGCTTCTTTTGGGCATCTGAATCTCCTAGAGCGTCTTTGGCTGCTTTCAGGACTTCGAGGAGTGCTGCACTCGCGTGCCCCTTTTGTTCTAGCGACACTGAAGCGAGGATGATTCGAGAACAGAGAGAAAACATCTCAGGGTCAGATGCCCATCCTAGCGGCCCATCCTCCTTGCCGAGAAACGTAATGAGACGAGCCAAGCCTCTTTGTAACCAATCGTCTAATCTCTTGGAAGTCGAACCTTCAGGATTCCAGACGAGACTCTCGTAGACCGAAACCCAACGACTCGTCTCTCGGATCTCATCAATGAACAAGTTTTGCTCTTCAATGACAAAGAGCGAGTCGTCAACCTTGAGGGCTGCGTCAAATTGCTCGTCCGCAGATTTCCATGGAATTTCCTGGTTTGAGAATGACGCGCCAGTAGCTCCAGTGATTCTGGCAGCAACGACAGCCTTGAACGAATCGGAGTTGCTAAACTCAGCAGAGAGCCATTGTAGCAAGCGGTTGGCTGCTTCGATCGGAACCAGGGGCTGCCCGATAATGGACCTCACGGCGAGGGAGCCGACCTCACGAACCTCGTCATCGTCGTCGTTCAGGGTGTCATAGAGAGAAACCAAAGCTGGTATGAAATCATCTCCCGTGCAGTTGGCGCCGAGCGATAGGAAGAAGGCCTGAAGCGACTGTGCGGCCGCGAAACGGCTGTCGAATGTCTTATCGTCGAGGCCGGCATCGGCCATCATGACGCCCCAGCTTTGGAGCCTGCTGGCAGACAAACGACCAAAGAGCTTCATGAGAGCAACTACGCTGCCGCTAACTCTGAGAATGGCGTTGGAAAGAGATGGGTTCAAGGTGTGGGAGAGCAAAGATTCCAGAAGCTGTTCCAGGGGCAATGGCCTCAGCAACTCCGTATCCTTGGCTTGCCCGAGGAAATGCTCAAGAATGTCTGCAAGGTTCTCAAGAGCAACAGCCTGGACATCAAGCGAGCTGTTTTCGAGACAGATATTGATATACAGTCCAGAAAATTGAGCGAGCACTTCAGATGACGCGGAGGAGACATCCCAGAGCTGTGGGAGGGTTTCGAGGGCTGTGAGCATGGTGTTGATGCCCAGTTTATTTCCGAGAAGTAGAGTGTTGAGAATATCTAGGGAGGAGTCGTTGAACTTTGCAGCTAGTAACTGATGCTTGATACGTTGGATCTTCAGGAGTGCACTATCTGAGGCAGTAGATATTGATACCTCCAGAGATTTTGAGGGAAACTCTGACTCTAGAGAAGAAAGGAGGCTCCATATGAGATTGATGACCTCGACATATGCAGCCAGGATATCAGGACAATGGATGTAGTGAGAATCAATTTTGGTCTCATGGAGAAGCTGTACCAGGTTTGATAGGTTGGCTAAATCATGCATTTTAGTTGTTGGTCATCATGATCTATATTGTTCAATAAAATGAGGAGAAAGACTTACGCGTGAGACGTTCGGGAGATACCTCAGAGAGCCTCTCAATGACGAATTTGAGCGCTACCAGCACTCCATGGATCCGGTTCTGGGAATTCCTAGTTTGATCGTTAAGTGCTTGCTGGAGAAGGTCTTGCATGACCGCAAGCCATTTGTCGTGCAGTAGACAAGAACAAAGTGTGCGCGCAGCCATCTCTCGGACGTGCCACACTGGACTGCCCAGATATGTGGATATATGCAGCATAAGTTCTTCACGAAGCTCGTCAGGGGGGCCCGCGCGCCTTATGATGTCAAGTGCAGGAAATACTGATTCCGCACCCGCGGCGCTCGTGGCAGTGACAGACATCATCTGATGGCCAGACTCGAGTAGGTTGACAAGAACCCTGGGCAATGTCGAATAGCGGTGGTATGGAATACGAGTGGCCCTCCCGTCCCACCCCAACTCTATCATTGCTTTGCTTTCGTTGGAACCGAAGAGACAGTCGATGAGGCTTCGAAGGAGAATCAGACCACAGTTGCGAATTGCCCAGACTTCGGACCGAAGACCATTTGCAGCCAGCTCTAGGCACTGAGGGAGGTATTTCTCGGATTTATTCCCCATTGATGTTAGGAATGAGCTCTTGAATATATCTTTGAGGCAGTTGAAAGCGTGGACTTGGGGCAGATTGGAGCCGTCAGTCTCACGAACGAATGCTTCGACTCCTGAAATCTCAATAAGTTTCTCCATCACCTGCTCAAAGGAAGGAGAAGGTGCGTCTGCAGAGAGTATGCCTGTCATGAGTGATGGAATACCTGCTGAGCGGCGTGTTGTCGAGACCTGGGCAAAAATAGCACTCATGGTCCCCTAGTCCTCGTAAGTTAGTTTCGAGGTCGCCAACAGTCTGCATGTGATGAAGAGACGAATCTCACCTGGTACCACGTGTCTAGGATATTGCTACCGGAACCCTCCTTGTCCAAGTATTGCGTCTGTTGGCAGCATGTGGAAAAAGTTGAGGACACAGTAGAGAAGGCTCCCCGGTGCCTCAACGTCGAGAGCTGGATGAATGAGAGGTCACCCATGCTCTTGAAAGATTCTAATGAGGGGCTGATGAATTTCGCCTGTGACCTGGTTCGGACTGTGAGAGCCATTGCCCGTATGAGATTGCTATAGTTTATGTCAGTATGATTTGAACTAATTCGTTAACATAATAGGAGCAGAGTACTGGAAATTACCTTGACTCATGAATAGCTCGGAAGCTGTAGCTTAGAATATCCTTAGTATTGATACCGTCTACTTCCTCCAGTTCTTGAGGCAAATGGCCTTCGGGACTGTCGTCGCAAAGGATATCACGAACGGCATCCCATATTTTCTCACAGCAGCTCACCAGCCTATTTTGCACCGCCTGGCCGGCATCGAGAGATGGCCCGCTGAATGTTTGCGTAGAGACAATCTGCCAGATATAACGCAAGGCAGAGAAGTCACCATGAACAGGGTCTTCGAGCACAGCTTGACCAAGGTTAGACTGAGCAAGTGCAATTTTGGCCTCTAGTTTATCGATGATGTGTGAGATGAAGCCCAGTTGCGCAGTCTCATCACCAAAGAATCGATATAGAAGCTGGCAAGCCCTTGCTGCACCATCAGAATGATCAGCTCTTGCTGTTCTTCGGGAAAGTTCATTTGCTCGATCCGACAGGTCTTGTAGCTCATCAACAGGAGAGTCGCTACGATTCGCTCCCGATAAGGAAAATTTCCTGTATCTCATATCGCTGAGGATCGACTTAGTGGCAGCTGAAGAGAGTTCTCTCACATCGTCAAAGGGGTCCATGACAAGATCAAATAGGGCCCGTGCCCATCTTTTGTCGATGAGATCATAGAAAATCTCCTGGTCCGAATCTGTTCCCCAATCCTTTTTCGGGTCGGATTCTAGCCGGAGAATGGACGAAATGGCTTTGAGGGAGCCAACATGTCGTTGGTAAGAAGCTGTCGGCGTGAGCTCGGAGCAAAGGAATCCTATGTACCATCGGAGAAACTCTGCGTGATACTCTAGACAGTGGACTAGTTGTCCTTCCGGGAGATCGATCAAGTTGGAACGATATAGGATGGGTTGGGTGTCTGCTGCCGGTGGAACCCCCTCTGCAGTGGCCCTGTCTGCAGCCTTGCGCTTTAGAGCTTTTGCTCTTACTCTTGGGATGCTTCTTTTGAGGACACAAATAGCGCCTCTTACTCTCTTGAACATATCCCGAGCCCTAGCCATGACATCGACCCGGAATTTGGCATCTGGATCTGCAAAGTAGGTCCCTAAGTGCTGTCGTAATAAATCCAAGGCTGCGAGAGAGTATGGTCTTGTGGTCGATGGAGAGGTAATGAGGAGGGAAAATGCTAGAGTGCGAACCTCATGAGAAGGATGAGCCAACACACTGTTTAAAATATCCTGATTCATGAGAATAGAGGATTTTCCGTCATTTTCTTGACTGTCAGTATTCAGTGCTGTGCAGGTACGTTAGCACTCAACATTCAGGGATAGCAAGATCTAGACCATCACCATGAGGGAAATCTTACATGGCTCCTCAACCAACCCTACTCTTTTTCCCGTTTCCAAGGCGGCTAGCTGCAAAAGAGCGGGAAGATTTACATTTATATCCCTATTGGACGCAACGATATCGTTGGTCGCCATCATCCGCAGGAATTCTAATGCCTCAGTCCTCTCGGCGTTGAATAGTGGTAGAAAAATGTAATTCTTCACAGACTCAAGGAGCGAAGGGTCTTCTTCTATGTACTCAAGTAGCCACTGATGCCAGAGTTTAGGAGTGATCATACTTTGTGGGTGGTTCTTGGCATTTCTGAGGCGGCGGTAAAGACACACAGCCAATCTTCCGGCCGTCGGGCAGACAAAGTGATTCTTCATCCAGGAAAATAATTCGCCAAAAAAGCTGTGCCATACCTCAATCTCATCGAGAGGCTCTTTTTCTGCAAGGCTTCTAACATAGGAGAGCCTTATGTCATTGAGCGAATATATGTTTTTTGAGACGAAATAGTCCAAGGTCTTGATTGCCGACTTGGCCACTGGTTTTGATTTAAGACCGACAATGATAGAAATCAAGTAATCCAAGAGAGATTTCTCAATGTTTTTAGCGGCTGTGACATCCGGGTTTCTCTTTTGCAACCGAGAGAGGAGATCTAGAACAAGTTTCATCGAGCGATGATGATCAGACTCGTTCCACTCCATGTAAAAGGTGAATAACTGTTGGGCGACATCCTCAGAAAAGGCCCAGCTTTGAAGTTGATCCGACTTTGATTTGGAAAAGTGTTCAACAAAGCCGCATAGTCTCACACAAGCATTTCCTGAGACGGATTTGGGCTGCCCGGCCTCCAGCA